ACATACATACGCACACACCTAGAATCACCCACGATCGAACCCGCGAAAGTCTTGGGGGGGAGTCGAAGAAGTAACGAGTAGCGGTATAGGCCGTACCGAGCGAAGGTTATAAACACCCGATTGGTCCTGTGGGACGGGGAGGCTCCAATTGACACTGAAACAGGAGTAGAGATATTGCTATCGGTTTTTTTTTCAAACAAAATATTCTAAGAACGGGTTTAGTTAAAAATAAAAGATAATCTGTGGTATTTATTGATATGCGATACACAAAATATACACTTGGATACTATTTTGAAGTCGTTATACATGTCTTACAACATAAAACGGCGAGGATTATTATTATTTTGGTTAAATATTTCAACCTGCCACTCTATCATGACCATACTAATATCTTTGTTTTTATTACTTTTATTAATATCATTGGTGCATAAGTGTTAATGTATTTTTTTTTTTCAAACCACTAGTAATCTGAAGAATATCATTATTTTTTTGCATGAAAATTATTATAGTTTCTGTAGATTCCTACAATACATGGAAACTTTAACCACGAATGTAAAAAGTGGAAATTTTGTTTGGAATAAATGCTTTTTTTTAATTATTTGACATTTTTTCTTGCATCGATCAAAAACGTTTAAGTTATAAGTTTTTAACTTATAACCAGATTACATTAATTAAAAATTACATTGATTACAAAAAAAAAAACCCTGCATTAGTGGCATTACTTAACACAACTTTACTTTATTATTTTGAATTTGAATTTATTTATTTGATTTCAATCAATAATTCAACGATCACAAAATAATATTATTCATATTCTATAGCTGTAGTCGGCTATACTAAGATGCGGTTATAAGTACAGATCATAACACGAAAGGAAGATCAAATTTCAAAAAAATTTATTGCAAGCACTAACAAAAAATAAACTAAATATTATATTTACCTACCTGCAGGTGAATAGGAGAATTATAAAGTTATGAAATATTTCATTTTTAAACGAATTTATATAAATATTATTATTTGTTGAGTTATTAATATAATCAACTATTGTTTTTATTTAGGATACAGTGGATATAAGATAACACGAATAGGTATTTTTCACGAACTGCCAATGACCATGTGTTTATATATTATGTTGTATTCAACGGCACAGTGATAAGCTCTAAGTCTGATATTAAATTGTGTTACTTAAAACTTACTTACATTTTATTATTACGAGTTCAAGTGCACTGTGTGCATAATATGACTGTATGTAATAAATCGTCATTGTGAGATCTCTCAAGTTTTTTTTCCTACTTGTCGTTTAAAATGTCGAGCATGGAAATATGTATGTATAATATACATATATGTACATCGGCTAGAGGTAGCCAGACCTTTTTTTTTGTTGTGTTCAGAGATCGAACTACGGTTGTTTATTCTCAGGGGATCGACTTAAACATTTAAAAAATACTGTATTGGTTAAGGTAAATACAAACGCTACTGCTAAGGGAGCATGATAAATACATACCAATACTAATAAATTATTTGGAGCAGACTCTTAAGAAATTCCTAAAGACATTAATATAGGTCACCTACCATCTAGCTACCCACAATCACTGAGTATATTAAAAAATAAGCAATCAACTTCTCCAACCACATCAATTCTGCATGCAGGGCAAAATAGTATAGACTAAGTGACCACCTTGTGTACACCGACTCAACGTAGATGCCCATACGACCTTATTTTGTTATAATTATAATTTTTTTTTTTCTTTTGTCTTCTGATTTGTAAATACACTAAAAAGTAGTAAATAGTATCTTTTATAATTAATTTTGTATTACTAATTGTTATCTATTATCCAAATGTTAAAAAAATGTAATTCTGTTAACAAAAAGTTTTAGATGGCATAAGTCAGGGAAACTTTAAATTGACTAAAACCAAAAAAAAATAAATAAATAAATAAATAAACCTACTGGGATATATATTTTACAATACATATTATGTATTTCAATAGTGTAAATGGTTATATAAATCAATTTCTGAGCTCGTTTATTTAATCGTTCACGCTATAACAACAGTTTAAAGTAAATTATTGTTTCATATTTCACCTTGAAGAGAAAATGCACATGTAGAACAATTGGCCCATTTTGTATTGCATGACATGCTTGGGTGTACAACTTTAATAAATAATACTATTTTAATAACTAAATATTTTCCAGGCAGCTGTTGTCGTATTGAATTTAAAAACAGAATATGTTTGGTTGGAAATGGAACAAATCACATTGAAATACGTCTTGTAAATTAGAAAGTCGAAATAGTACGTGTTATTTTCAGAAAATTCAAAGTACTTACCTACTCAGTGCTAACGAGACTTACCATAAATCCTATCAACATGATACTAGAACGAAAAAATAACAGTACAAAGCTACGACGGTCTAAATTTCGGTATATTCTACATTTAAATAATGGCAAAACGTTACCGAAGTTTACATAATTTTTGTAATTTTAACAGTTCATTTAAAAAAATAGTTAATTTTTATACGAAATACAAAATTACAAAGCCACAAAGCAACAACCAAACATTTATTTTCAGAATTTATGGTGATCGATGATTTTGTCTATTACCTAGTATTTCAAAATACAAATATAGAGAATCTATTTTTCGATAAAAAATGTTGTTTAAAAATATATATATATAAAATTTTACTCGTCCAATACAGTTCAAAAAGATTTAGATAAGTAAGCAATTATTACAGAGGTAAAACCGATTTGTCAGTAGATTTTTATAAGCTTTTCAATATGTATTTAGAGCTTTAAAGCTTTATTTAAAACGCTTTTACTACAGATTTTTAGTTTAAACATTCGTACTTTAATAGCTTATAACGATCCGGGAATGAAAAATCAATTTCCTCCGGTTCCCAACATTTAACAGATATTCGTAAAATATTTTATTTTCGATATTTAAGACTACATCGTATAGTGATTTTTTCCAATTTGAAGTTTTAGAACTGAATTTCCCATTAAAGATCTAAGCTTGGATTTAAAAAAAAGTAACAATTGTTGCTAATAGAAAAAGTTTAGTGTAATACTGTTACGTCCACACAAAGCTATTACAACTACCGTAATCAGAAGCTGATTGAACGATTTATAGTAATAATTAATTATTAATCCTATCTAATTGAGTTTTTTAGCAGTTTGTTCACGCATAAACTTTTATTATTTTGATGTCATGTTTCACCGTAATTGTTTTTTTCCAGAATTTATCAATATGCCACGTTTTGAATATTGAAAATAAATCGAGAAGTAATTTTTAAACTTCTCTGACAAAACCAAAAACAACGAAATCGTGAGCAGATTTTATACTGCTTAGTGTAAATTGTTCGCTTTTGTAGTTTAAGTTTAAAAATATATCTATAATAAAACTAATATTTTATTTATGTGGTTATAGATAAACTTTTTCCACTTTAAATTGCTAAGCATATGTATTTTTGAAAACCTTTTCTATGACTAGCTAAATCAAATTTCAGTTCGGCCGTAATGTTCAACATGAAGTCATAAACATACTTACTTCAAATTGTTCTCGCCTCGTTATTGCTTGGTGCGCTCATGTATGGACACAATTTTACAATAGTAGCAATTACTATAATTTTAAAATCATCATAGCCCTCAAATCTTCAAAACCTCTTATCGTGGATCTAACATCATCACTACTCAGAGTTAAACAATTAAAAAATTATTCAAATTTTGACAAGGATGTATTACAGTTTACAATTTTCAAATAAGCCATTGGCTTTACAATGTATTGAGGAAAAGTGTGATAATCATTTGAAGAAAATAAGTTAATGACGGCCCAGATACTTCTTAAATGTTATATAAATTTTAAGTATTTGAAAATAGGACCTATGATCCTCAAAATGTGCATTCACAAATCCAAAAAATATGAATTTTAATAAATGCAATATTAAAGTAAAGATTAAGGCTTATTAGTGAAGCACTCTATGTACTATATTACAGCTCTTACGTTGAATTTGGATATTTTAAATAGTTTATCATTTTGTCATCTGTTCATAATTTATTTTAACACTAAATGACCACGTAGTATTCCATAGTAACTTGAACTTTGTTTGGATGTACCGAGTTTACCAGCTTATAACTACTAACTAATAAATATCATTTTGACCAATAGCGAATATTTTGACATAAAATATAGTAATTTGCTATAATAAGGGGCACTGTCAGCCATGACAGAATATCGGCGGACGTTTTGAGAAAAAACAGAAAACTTAAAATCCTTCGAAGTTCAAATGTATAAGACCGTCAATCGTTACATTTCCATATATAATACAATATAGTACTAGTACAGAATAACGATCCACGTATTTTATATATATATATTTTTTCTACTATACGTTATTTTGCTATTGTAAAATGTATCAGCAGACTTCGTCAAAGAGTATTTTTGTCATATTTTGAAAGAAACAGACGTATATAATATAAAATATGTATATATACGAAAACATAAAGGCCAAATTTAGATACAAGAGTGCCCAAAAAAGATGAAAATATTGATAAAAATGATAATTTTTATTTTAAATTGAACTATATTACTATTAAAGTATTATTATTTATAGGCACCTATGTAGAATGTATAATTTGATTCGCAAAATCAATCATAATCTTAATGATATTATAAGGCTATGGACATTCTCCATAGTTATATCTTCGGCAGTGAACCAAAGTATTATCAATAATCGTCAGTGAACATGACGTGTGCGTTGATGCCTTTAAGGCGTTTATTCTCGTATATATCAAAACTGCAAACTACAGAAACATCATCAATTCTTCGTATACTTTCTAAAATGCTACATGCGTATGCTACATATTTTCGTACAAACAGTAAAATCTCAGGCAGAACTCAGACACGTCCTAATGTTTTTTGTACATTTTTTTTTAGGCAAAATGCATGACGTACGTAGATAATTTAGACAGCCGGCGCATAACAGACAAGTCGCATAATACTTACCGTAGACGATTCTTCTCGCCGGAAATCGCTTTACAGCTGAAGTCTTGGCACACTCGCGTCTCTCTGGTTCTGACAGTGCAGCCAGTGGCCAGACAGAAGCTACTGCGTCAGCGACTTCGGTCAGCTGTTTCTGGACTGACGCCATGAGCACGCAGTCCAACTGTTGGTCGTCAGAAGACCCGCTCATGACTCTTCGAACAGCATCCCTGAAAGCCTCCATTCTCTGAAACAGACTGGAATATGACTGAAAGCGGAAAAATTACGGGAAATGACCAAATAAAGATTGATTCATTGAACAAAGCAGTCGGACTCCGGGGATTATTTTATTTCCGGTTGCAAGTACAATATCGGACTGAACTCTGCCAAGACATACGTACATTCAAAATCTTATATACATAATAATATATTTATACACACAAACCACAATTAGCTGTTTGATCGATGGCTGCAGTAGACAAGCGCCGTCACGTAGACGACAAGATCGAAGCACAAACATTATTTTACTGTTGACGAAACTACTGCAGCTGTATAATTGATAATAATATTATAATATACGAACAAAAACGCGAGTATTATGATCCAGAATAAGAAATTCAAATACGAGTACTTACAGTTGGGTACTATACTATTTAAATATAAATATGATAAAAATAGAAAATATTTAATTTATTTGTACAAATTAGAGTGTTTGATTATATTTCTCAAATTGTAACAAAACTATAATTGTGTGTAATAAAGTAATTTAACTAATGGGTCAGCTTATATAGTTGTTTGGATAGATTACTCCATGTATTGTATAATATTTCTACATTTATCATTCTAATATTTCTTTAAAATTTTTACAGAATTTAAAACCTAACCTAACCTAACCTTCAATATTCATATGTGAGTCATGTTTTTAACATCGTAATAGTAATAATCTACTCAACCATGTATAACTATTCGTAATAGAAAAAGATACAATGTTCTTAAGTTATAAGTTGTAAAATTATTGCATATTGCATAATAATGCAAATACAATATATATTGTCATGTAAACCCAAACATTGTAATATAATGAACTCATATGAAAAAAAAATGCTCCACTGAAATTAGGTAATCCCAAAAAAAAGATCAATACTATTGAACAGGTATTCAAGTAATTATTAAAATCATATTAATTTGATAATAACTATCTTCGGTGGAAGTTCATATTTTAAATTCTGAGAGGGGCGATGAATGTATTGATTTTACAATGATGTGTTTTTTTTTGTCTGTCATCGCCTTTTGGGCCAGTAAAAGTGCTTTGATTTTCTTCAACAGCATCTTTTCAGATAGAAAAGTGGATGTAGTTGATATTTTGGGGGGTCAAAAAAAAAATATTCCCAATATTTTTCAAAAGTTGCAGGAAAAACGAGGATTTTTACGGTTTCTACGGTTTTAGACAAAATCGATTTTAATTCTTGATGTAACTCCAAAAAATAATACCATAAATGCATTAAATACATTAAATGTTCACAGAATCTTTATACCAGCATTTTCTATACACCTTAAAATTTTCAGAATATTTTAACTCGTGTTGAGTTCAATAAAAAAAATTCAATTATTATTTTTAATTAAAACTAATGTCGATAAATATTATTCGCTCGGACAAACAGCTTGAAATTGTAATACAAGGTTCCTCGTAAGTTATTGTTAGTGGAAATTAGAAAAATAGTGAGTGTAAATCGACAGTAATTTTTTATGAGCGTTTGAATTTAGAATTTTGACAAAATTCGTGAAAATAACGAAAATTTGCAAATTATTTTGAGTTAAAAACTTATGAAACATTTTTCTTTGTATCTAAGGTTTTAAAATTAAATACAAGATTCCTTATAAGCTTGTCTACGTTTATCAAAAAAAATGTTTACCAGAAAGTCATATTCAATTAATTTTATGAACGTTTAAAATTTAAATTTTTACAACATTGGATGTTCACTCGGTTTCTCGAATAGCGATTTTCTTATTTCGGTGTATTCAAAAACAAATAGCTGTAGCAAAATATTTTGACTTCAAAATTTGACAAAATTTATCAAACTGAAAGTGTACAAATTATTTTATAGTTCAATATTTATAGAATGTTCAACTTTTATAGCTAAAGATCAAAAATTTAAAACAAATCTGCACGCAAGTAGTAAATTCTGTACCCAATAAATCTAAAAAACACGCAATTTTTTTTTTTTATAAATACTAATTGAGACGAAATCATATACTATTAAATAACTAAGAATAATGGTTATGTTGCTTTGCTGTAATTTAAAAATATTATTCGCAGGCATGTACTTTGAAGCATTTAGAGTATAGAATTATATTTTGTCCACACATGAATTTTCAAATGTAATTTTTTTTGAATGAATTTAGTCACAGAAGTAGTATTAATGCTTAATAGTAAAATAAATTACTTTAAACACAATAGCATTACTAAATAATATTATAAGCTGTAAGACCGTTTTCCCTCAGAGTTGTTCGTACTTACACAATGATTTTATATCATTAAATTAAAATTTAACACCATTCATTACAGTGACTCACTTGTAACCCACTGTACAACAGAGCGTCATACGCTTACTAGTTTTTTTATTTTACAATTTGTAAAATTATTATAATGATTAAAATTGTACATAGATATTAATATACATAAATATTTATATATATTTATTATATTATGTATACAAACCGTACACGTTTATGCGTTTACGTGTTTACGCAATCGTATATTATATTTTCTATACCACAGGTCTTATTATTGAAGCATTAATCTATTTTTGTCAATGGTTAGTTTCAGAACCAATATCTGCGTGTAAGCTTCCGTAGAGATTACTATTGTAAATTGAATTTTCGTCATATTCGGCTACCCCGACATCCACGCACTCTGGTAAAAAAGTAAATAAATAAAAAAAGCATAAGGAAAATTCATTACGCCATACAGTAAAACTTTTCCAAAAATAAATCTACCCTATTCATAAATGTCCTATGGTAAATTGCTAGTATACTTTCTTGTATTTATGTATATACAAATTTTTCATAATATGTCATGCTACAAGAACAAAGAGAGAAAACTAAATCAACGTCCATTTTATATGCAAATAAAAATAATGTATAGGTAGGTACTTATAAAAAACGAATAAAATAAATAATGAATGTCTAGTCAGTAGTGGGTATAATATTTGTATTTACTTTAATTTAAAGTACAGATTATAGATATCTATCCGATTTTAATTCTGTTTCTTTTCCTATAAATATCGACAAAAAATCACTTAAAAACGTAATACAAGGACACTCATGAGTTATCATACACCAATTAAAAAATACTGAAAATATATAGTCACAATATTTTTAAGTGTTTATGTGTTTATGTGGATTGGAAGATGTTTTAGTCTAAAGCCCAGTGTTAGGTTAGGTTAAACCTAGATAAGTAAGTCCCAATGTTATCTATTCATCTATCTTAGATAAAAACTTCATTTATCTACTGTAATTTATCTAGATATTTTTTATATTACGTTGTAGAAATAATTTTAATACATTTTAATATTATTATTCATGTTCCGGGTAATAATATGTACTATTTTCTTTTGCGTGGTCACTGTAAATCGAAAGATAACAATATCTATTTTAATATTATATTATTATTACTCAATATTAAACAGTCTGTAGAGTTATATCCTATGGACAGCTATTTGTGGTAAAGCAAATTAAGTGAATGACGAACATTATTAATCGTTTAATTAAATTTTAGTTTTTCTCTTATTTGAATGAGACCTTGTAATTATTATTATTATTATTATGTTATTATTATTTATTTTTGTCTTTACACGGTTTGTGAAAAACATAAAAGAATAATAGAACGTCGGATTAGGTCAAACAAGACAAATCTATACTTTTTATGTTAACAAAATTACAAAAATTTGTAAATAATTGAGTAGTTAAACATTTGTAAAATAATCAATTTGTATAGCCTTGTAATAAGAAATTCGAAGCTATGTTATTTTTAGAAAACTGAATGTACCATCCTTCTTACCGTTGACGAGACTTATGATAAATCCTATCGACATAGTAACATTATAAAGCTTCAACAGCTAAAATCGAGTCTTCTAAAACGTATATTCTTAATTCAAATAATGTTAACGTTACCAAAATATAAACTTCGAGTACTTTAACTTAAGTGAAGAGTTATTGTAGTGGACCAAAAACCTCCGATATATTAATATTTGATAGTGATTACGGCGATAATATTTTTTCATTACAACTATGTTCTAGGAAATTTTTTTTTCAAATATAGGGATATTTAAATCATGATTACTGATTACACTACGATGGTATACAAAATGAATTTATACGAGAACAAAACGCAAGATCTGAAAAAATCGTATTTAGGATAATATTGAGTTTCTACGAAACGCATATGAGTTTATAACAATTATAAGTATAGTTCCAAACTCGGTAAATAAAAAAAAAACAAACAATCAAAGTTACTTACGATTTCAAGATAAAGTTGTTCGACTTTTTATAGTTCTAGAGAAACGAAATTTCGGAAAAATATACGAACTTAATAATTACAACCGTCTCCTAAGCAAATATCATAAATAGATCAACGACAACTTCATCAAACTTATGATACTCCTAATTTGCACGACTGTTCCAAAAACTGGACCAAAATATAAATTGCTTCGAGATACTTACAACGTCAGTAAGAAAAAAGTCATGTGAGTAGGTTACCGCTCTGCTGTACAATTATACGTGTAGTGTTCACCTCATCATTGAATAAGTAATTATAGTAAAATATAAAAAATATACTTAAAGATAAAAAGTTCTAACGAATATTACTAATTATGAGTTACAACTAGGTAATTAAAATCATAGTTTTTGGTTTAAATATTTAATTTCATCAATATTTTAACTTCAAATAAATATCTACAAAAAAAAAAATTTCTAACATAGTCTTAGAGTTTTGGGTGGCAGTAGAACTTAGCCTACTTACCTATGAAGAAACTTAAATTAAATATTGTCTATAGCCTTAGCTATTATTGGGCATTTGATGATGCATTCTTAACTACCTACAAAATAATTTGCACATTTTCTTGTTTGAAATTATTTTTTTCAGAATTTTAACTACAAACGCTTATATAGTATTATAATACACATGTATTAATAATATTTTTTAAATTGCTATATAACAACGTATGTGAAGTCTTGCTCTTGTATAACATTTTAAAGTTTTTTTACCGAGCTTATGAATTTTTATAGAAATTTAATAAAAAAGAAAATTAGAAAATTTCAAATGGGCAATAAATAATAAATAGTTTAAATGTCTGAATATTTC